GGATTCATATGGGATTCTCATGTGCTTAACTCTTTCTAACTGCAGAAAGGAACATGTACTATTTTTGCAAATATTGCATTAAGGGAACACGCACCTCCATAAGTAGATAATAATTACATACAAGCTTACAAGGCATGTAAGGATGATATACAGGATAACATTTTACAATTTTTAATATTTCATTAAAACTGTTCTATCTGCTATGCATTCGAAGTAGATTGAAGATCACAGTTGTTTACAATACTAACAATTTTATTTGACATTCGTACAAGACTTCGTAGTTTGTGAAAGATTTAGGTACTTATAATGTTATTTACTTATGGGAATGTACATATTTTCTACAGTGCAGTTTATATTTTGCAATTTCAATTATTAGAAAGATTCATTTCGCATTTGTATTTGTATTTGAATTAAGTAATTCAAAGATATCAAGTGATAAATTATTATTTAAAAATTTATTTTTATTTAAACTATAAACTAAAACTATAAACTAAATGAATAAATAAGTTTTACTTTGCTTATTGCTATTAAATGATTAAACCAATGTAGACTGTTCAGTTCACTATGTTTCGAATGATTCCATACATTTCAACGCAAGAAAAATAAACACAAACACTAAAAATTGCACACCACCAAATAAATATTTTATAAAAATTTGTGTACATGTACGCAAACACTAAAATTGTAGTTTACTATTTACGTACATGTACATTGTACACTACAAAACTACTTAAGGGAGATTATAGCTCAAATTCATTTCGAAAATTTTTGCCAAAAAATGTACACTAAAAGTGTACATTACGCTCACGTGTTTGCGTACCTTTGTTTTGTACACTACTGGTTCTACCATTAAAGTTTATTTTTGTTAAAATATAAACACAAATTTGATTAATTAGTCAGTGAGAAGCTATCAAAGAGTAAAAGTGCACTAACTCGGAAAGTACTCAACATGAACAAATTTAGTTACCACAAATTTTTTTATTAAAGCTTTATTTAATTTAAATAATGCATCTTAATTATCTTTACTACGATTTTTGGCTACGTAAGGGGACTAGAAAGCAATACTTTTTTTGATGATAATTCTAATATTCTTTTTAACTACAAATTACGAGTAGTTTTATACTTGCACTTATGTTGTTGAAGAAATATTAAGCTAATATTTTAAACGTTGTTTACAACACTAAAATTAGAATGTATTCACCAAAATTACTTGACTTTGAACCCATAAATTAGAATATATTAAATCAACCTTTCTTTTGGTTCCTTTAACAAATTGTTAACTTTAAAAAAGCAACTTCAGGGATTGTGAACATCTTAATTTTCCGCAATGACGTGGTGATTTCGTATGTGAAATTAATTTAACAGTTTTGCAATTCATGGGCAGCAGTTGGTTTCCGTTTATTTTTTTTAATTTAAATATTATTTCGAAATTTATTTTCATTGAAAGCTTAGGAAGTAATTTATTTAAAAAAGTGTTTATTTGCACTTTAGGAGCCTATTTTAAACTATACTGTTAAAAAGCAAAAATTTTTACTTAACACTTTATAATAAAATACATAATAATCTTCTCGATGAACGATTAATCTTTACTCGACGAAACATGAAATAGTGTCTGAAGCACTTTTGATTAAAAGTCACTGCAACAAGTGATCCGTTGAAGAACTTAAATGAGATTTATAGGTGATTTTATAGAAGTATAGTTTGAAGCACAGCATTCCATTCTGGTGGAGTATATATTGTATTTGTTTTAAGACAGTGCAATTAATGTAAGCATTTAAGGAATCAAATAATATCAGCGTTCTGTCTATGATGTACTTTTACACACTCTAGATTGTCAAGTCCTAGTGTATATGCTCTTCCTTTTATATACCATTGAAATCTATATAATATTCTGACAAGTTTCAAATTTATTAATGGTGGATTTAGCAGCATTACAATAAGAAATACAAACATAAAAAATCATTTAGATATAATTACTTGCTTATAAAGTAGTCAACTTTCGTTATATTAATGGTTTCACAGCATTTAGAGTTATATTACAAGCCAGCTTTTTTAACTACTCAAGTGTATCTTCTATCAAAAGTAAGATCTAAGTATTACACAATATGTTTCCGTTCTACTTTCACATTATTGGCTTTTATGTTTTTCAGGTTTTAATTTTCATGTCTTGTGATGATAATAGTTTTAATTTTTTCTGTATTTATTTTCGGAAATATCTTATTATCTTATTAACATGAAGGTGTAAACTGTTTACAACAAAATAACGTAGGTATCGTCAGCAAGGAGAGAAATTGAAATCTTAGCTTCCGAAAGAAATTGTGCTGTACATAAATTACACAATAAAGGATGCAATGTGGAACCATGAAGAATACTCGGTTTCATTTTCTTTGTAATTGAAACGTGGTTTTGGACTTTGACCAAGAACTCTATAGTTGATAAAAAGCTAGCTAAAAGTTTCATCTTGTCAAAGGTGATATCACAACTATATTAAAAACATAATTAAAAACTTACAGAATTCAAGTGAAGAAAGTATTTTTGTTTAACTTTCATATTTTCTTAAAATTAGTTTTATTTATAATTGAATCGTAATTTTAACAAATTTTTAAACGTCTCGTATGTAAAGTAATGGTCAATAGTATAGTATATACATAGCTACATTACTAATTTTGAGCAACATACGAAGAAAGTTTAAATAAAATTCAAATCAACACAAAAAAAATGAATATTGTAGTTTTCTGAAATTAATTATTAAATTGATTTTTAACGTCCGTTTTGATGAAAGAAATTAAATTCTAAGTTATTGTTTTCAATAGAGAGGTCTTTTAAACAGTATTAAATTGCAACAATAATATTTTAATATTTTATTAATTAATTGAATTTTTGGCTGACCATACAGCTGCATTGAGTATTGTCAAATATCCATCATCAGTGGTCTTGGAATTATTATTATATTTAAATATTTGTAAATAATTGTTTGAGACTGCAAGCAACAAGGGTTGAAGTCGTGCCCGGCAAATTTAAAACTCAAAGTCAGTACTTGACTTCTACTGATTTGTATGTTCTGACTTGGAATTTTATTAATTTGCTGTGAAAGTTCATTAACAAATTCACTTGCTGTGTTGTATTAGAACGAAATCATAAACCAACAAGAGAATAATTAAATTAATTAATTCTATTGAAATTTGAAAGATTATTTATTGTATAATTTTACTACTCATTCTTGTGTATAAGCTAATTTGGGAATCTAATATGGATAAAGTCTTAGTATATCGTGACATGTTATTTCACTATTCGATTAGGCGACATTGGAAAGGTGAATGAATATTTCTATTTCTATACTTTATTCCATCATAATTGTATATTAAATTGATTTTTAACTTCCGTTTTTTTATTTAATTTAATTAATTTACTATGTAAATAATATTTTTAAAACTTATATTTTATTTAACCAATTTTTCAATTATATTCTATAGCCATCTCAGGGTATTATAATATTTTTATAATATACCATAGCTAAAATTGAACATAAACGATATAGAAATAATTACAGAAAGTTACAATTAAAAGGAAAATACATATGCAGGAATTTCAATACTATTTTTGTACTTAACGCTGTGTTTATGCCCAGCTAAATGCGTCTTCAAATTGTTTTTCATTGTTCCAACAGATACTTGGTTGCATATATTGGAACCGTCTCTTTTACATTTGGTTTGTTGATTTGATAAACTACATTATGCTTATCCATTGTGTCAATTTTAGATTTGGTGTTATATATATAACGTGTCGATTGTATTTTGTGTTCTATATATCATTTTATATTAATGCTTATTGTAAATACTGGACACTGAGATTTGTTCCAAAAGTTGGGGCATATATACAACGCTGAAATTCGGTTATCCTGATTATGTTGTTTTGAATTATGAATCACTAGGTTTGGAAACCCATTTTCAAGAACTGAACCAATTAGCCCATTTCAAAGAAAAATATTATTAATTATAAATTTTGGTAATTAAAACAAAAAATTATTTATCTATAACAAAAAACTATAACATTTAACTATGTTATGGTTATATAACATATAACACATATAATTGTTATAAATACTGATAAGTACTGATAAAATAATTGTAATAGTTTTATAAAAATAAATTTTTTAAAAATAATTTGAAAATGGAAATTTAAATCACGAAAATGGTTCATATAATGACATCAAAACGAAAAAATTATTTTACAATGGCCTTTTTTGAGTGAGTGGTTTTAAGCCTCAAAACCTTCACTAAGGAATCTATGCATATAAAACAGGCAAAAAATATGATTCTAAATTATTATTATATTATATTATTATTAAATATATATTTAAATTTATGTATATTAAATTTTATTTTTAAATTAGATTTTTTTCAAAATCTAATCTAATGTTTTTTGTTTTACATTACTATCCGCTAAGTTGCTTGTGCCAAAATTGTTAATTGTGACTCATTAACTGTAAGGTAAAAACACACTGAGAATGTTTTTTATTGTATGCATCTAAGAATATTTAATGTATAAATACTAATTAAAACTTTAAGTGAAATAGTTTTTTCCTGTTTTTATCCTGAGTTATAACTCACTACTCAGTAATAAACTAGTTATTTTAAAAATTAGTTAAGGAAGATTTTAAAAATCCTAAAGATTTTAGAGTAACCTACAATAAATCTTGTAATTCAATTATTATATGCTTAAAATACAAAAAACATATATCTTGAATTATTTAATAAAATTTATTCTAAACCGTTTTAACTGTTTAGTTAAATTTTATTACATTTATGTTTCTTCAAATTAATAATTTATTTAATATTTTTTTATTTATATTGTGTATATTAGATATGTGAAGATAATCAAACTCAACGTATTTTTCAGATGTTGCTTTACTTTTTATTAACAGCCGCTGTACACATATTTAAACAATCAATAAGCATTCATTTATTTATCTCACTCTTACACGCGTTACATTATACGAAATGTCATTTCTTTTCGTTTAACTTTTGTTTGTACATTCACACCCATGCGCTTTTGCGAAATGCGCATTCACGATAACGTAATGAAAAGATTTATTTCGATTTTTGCCTATACATTATTTTTCAAGATGGCCGTAAGCGTGTACGCGTATACATATGAGAGAAGTCGCAAAAATTTTAAATTTAATTGTTAAAAGGCACTAAATAATGAATATAAAATAAAAATAATATAAATGTGTCATATGTATATTTCTGTATTTTAAAACTTTTATAAAATTTTCATTATTGTGAACGTAATAGAGAAAGGCTGCCGCCCCGCAGGCAAAAATTTTGCATTGAATAAATTCTAAATGTGTCACAATTTAAATGCTATATGAAAAAAGTAATTAAAATACTTTTTTGTTTTCAAATTAATATATAAAATATTTAAAAGAAATTATTCTGGGTATATTATAAACACTTTTTCACTGTCAAATTAAGTGGCGCGTTTAATCAACACACTTCAAGGGGGTAAAGAATAATCCAATAAAAACAAAATACTAAAAAAGTTACATAAAAAAAATTTGTGTGGAAAATGTCTTCAGCAAAAGTTACAGCTAAAGAAATTGTGCTACCGGCATCTATAGTAAATGGCGATACCGACACTGACGGAGCTGAAGGTTCAATAGAATTTTTGGAAGAGGTAAGTAAACATTTATAATACTGTCTATAAACGAGGGGAACGTAAAAAGTTTAAAAGTAACATTTTAATTATAATTTGTGTGAAGAATTATTTTAAATATCTATCTATATACATGATGTATATGATATAGATTATGGATGATTTTTTTTTGTAACATTTAATGTGGGTATTGTTTAATAATATAATTATAAAAAATCTTGAATATGGAATTAATATAAAATAAATGGTGCATTTTAATTTTAGCATGATCCGGAACACTTGAATGCACTTAATTCAAAACAACATATTGGAGAAGAAGAAATTGAAATGCTTACTGAAGAGGAGGGAGAATATTATGAATATGAAGAACGAGTTGAAGATGAAGAAGAAGAAGAACCCATAGCACCAGAAGATAATACGCCAGTAACTCGCAAACCAACTCAGGTGCCAAAGAAAAGAAAAAATCCAATAATAGATGCAGATGAAATAACTAGTAATGATATTAAAATATCGAAAAAATCGCAACAAATTAAGAAGGAAGATCAAGCAACAAGTTCTGCCAAAGATATTTCGAATAAAGAAAACGAGGTAGACGAAGAACAATGTCGTGTTTGCACATCGAAAGAAGACTTAGTTAGTCTCTTTAAGAAAATTGATAAGTATACAATAGCTGATATGTTAATGACTATTTGTCCAACAGTATCTATAGCGCGTAAAGATTTTATGCCACAATACGTTTGTAATGTATGTGTAGATAATATTACCATAGCCATGAAACTGAAAACTTTATGTGAAACAACAGAAAGAGATTTACGAAAAAAATTATCTAGAAGTAAAAATAAAGTAAGACGACCAACCGGATATGTTGTTATTGATGCTCCTGCTGAATCTGATCCTGCATCTGAAGAAGAACTAAACGATGATGTAGAATTTAAAGTATCAGAGGAAGGAAGTATTTCTGCTGGGGATGATTCGGATGATTCAGATTTTAGTACGAAAAAAAAACGGCCAGTTCGCAGTACAGCTGGGAGGCGAGGACGTCGAAAATCAAACCTAACACCCGCGTCCCAACAGAAAGAAAAAAAACGAATGGGTCGCCCTCCAATGAAACGTAATATACAAGCAGTTGACAGTAGTGGTGAAGAAAAAGACACTTCCTTGCAAAAGAAGAAACGTATGTCTGGTGGTGATACTGAAACCAGTCCAAATATACAGGAGTATGCGTGTGATCAATGTGACCATGTTTACACGCGAAAGTTGTCCTTAGTGTTGCATAAAAAATCACACGATGGCGCACGTCAGCCTATTAGTTGTGAAATCTGTGGCAAAAAATTTAAAATACAGGGTGCATATCGTACTCATTTAGAAAAACACAAAGATGACTCTGTTGGTTTCAATTGTGAAAAATGTGAAAAAATTCTTGGTTCAAAATCAGATTTAAGGAGACATTTAGCTGAAGCGCATAACGAACCCGGTCTTATTTATCAATGTGAAAAATGTAAGAAAGTATTTGTTTCTGAAACGCGATTAGATCGACATCAAGAAGGTCGTTGCCCGGGAGTTGAACACAAGCCAACTAAAAGACATGATCATGACGCTTTTTCAGTAGGTAAAGATTTATTTAAAAGCGTGGCACCTTTAACTACAACATACTGGAGTGATAGTTTTTCAGATTAAAAATTATATTACACATACAAATTGTTCTTTAATTTTAAGTTTTTATTAAGAATTCATTGGTCTTAAGTTTATGATTGACATATATAATAAAATCTATATATTTTTGATATTCATTTAAATATATAATTTTTACGCTACAAATTTTAAGCACATACTTAAGTTTAGTTTTGAAGCATTATCGAAAGATATGGCCCATATAAGAAATTATGCATTTTTAAATTTTGGAAACGCATTGTTTTCAACCATCCTGTCATTGACAAGTCAAACAATTAAAAATTATTCTTGCAATAAATATTAACGTTTCTTTATTTAGAAATATAAGTTTATTAATATACCTATTACAATTAATATATCTAAATGAAAGTAATTTCTTTTTAGTGTCTAACAAACCAATGTCTAATCAGGAAAACAGTTTTTCTTCAAGAACTAAATTCAAAATTTTTAATTAGATTTTTTTTGTAATATTAAATTATTTTATAAGTAACCTTTAAAAATATAATTAAGCTTATTTTAAGAATGTAAATTTTTATTAAACTATGAAATAAAATTTATTTTTAGTATAACTTTAAGCAAAGAGATCTAATTGATTTTCTTTCCAATTCATATAAGATTAATGTGCTAATATATCATATATTAAATATTATGTTTTTAAAGTAGTACATTTAATGTAGTTTTTCTGTTTACTAATGATTAAATAATAATACAAATAAAACATAAAATGAATTTTTTTTCATAACACATTAAATTAAAAACATATATTTGATGTTATTTTTTTTTAACAAAGCATTAGGTAAATATTTAGGAGATATAATCTGGAAACACCCTATAACATAATCTAACATATGTTCTACAAATACGACTTTCTGAGACTAAATCATTGTTTTGTTAAATATCGTCGTAAATATCGTAAATCTCAACATTATTTTGTATATAAATCCAGTGTATGCAGTGGCGTAACTACAGGGAAGCGACTGGAAGCAACGCTTTCGGGCCCCCGAATGTAGGGGACCCCAATTTAAATTTATGTATTCATTGTATTTATTTATAATAAATAATAACTCCATATTGCACCTACTCCATGTTGCATTTTATAAAAGATACTTAAATTTTAAATTTAAAGTACATAATATGTATGTACTTCAAATAAAATGTTAAACCTATTTGTAAAATAAAAAAGTTTTTTTTAAAAAAATATGTGTATGAATCGAGAGTTGATATGGAAGCTATATCTAGATTTAAACCCATTTGAAAATAATTTCGTACCTTGTCTTATGCAAATATCAGTACAGTATATTCCAAATTCCATCCGAATACCATTATTAAAAACTGAGAAATCGGATTGTTGTTAAGTTTATATCGCAGCTATAAGAAATAGGCGTCCAATTTCAATCAAATCAAATGGTGAACAGGGTCCACTCCCGAAAAGTATGTGTGTAAACTTTTATTCGAAGAGTTCAAAAGCTGAGAGAGTAGTTTGAGAAAAAGTATATATATACTGTACTGATATATACTTAATGGTATTTCCGATGTTTCCTTTAATGCGTTACGAAAATCTTGCAAACCTTATATACCCTTTTTACATTTTTTCGTGTAAAGGGTATAAAAAAAGTTAGTAGTGGCTCCTTAGTTAGAATTTGCTTATAGGCCTAAAAAATGTAATTACGCCACTGAGTGTATGAATGTAATATGTATCAAGTTAAAGGATATTTAATAGATTAAAAATCGGTTAATGTTTTAGTCTATTCAAAATATATTGAATGTTTTAAAGATATTGAATGTTATTTAACATGTTGTTTTTAGGTAGAGTTCTTTTATACCTCCAGTTACTTGGTAAATACTGAAAATGCACCCGCTCACCCATATGATTTTTCTCGTTCTTTGGCCAAGGAATCACCTTCAATATTTGTGCTACTTGGAAATGCCATAAACAAGGTGAATTTCATATTATTATAACATTTCCGTCAAAGCTGTATAATTGCTTTATGGAATTTAAAATTAATATGAAAATTAATTAAAATGGAATAATTTTTAATGAAAATTACTGTTCAACATATTTGTTATTCCATTACGACGAATCCATGTTTATGTCAGTATCATATGGCTAATAACGTGATGTTTATAGTGCATTCAATAAAGACAATAATTAAATCGAATATCATATAGTGAATGATACTGTACATTATAGTATGTTGAAATTAATGAGGACATATCGGATGAGGTGTTTATTTTGCGTTCGAGCAGCGCGCAATTAAGCTTGGTGTTGCAGTGTTAATAAATTTGTCTTTAATTTATGGTAGCAGTTTCCGTTACGAAATAATCGAGATTGTTCTTATTAATCTGTCTCTAGCAGATTAACAGATGAACAAAGTCGTTGTTGACATCACATGATAATATTACATACAATGATAATGTCTGTGATTTATTATTATTCAGCGCCAAACTGAAACGTGATTTTCATATTTAACACTTCACTGGATTTTAGCTTCCTGCACCATCATTATTGTTCTTGTCCTTTATTCTGCTGTTGGTTGAGTTTCTATTTTTCTCTGTATCTGGCATTATGAGTTAAATGTTCTTTTTCGTATACGAGTATTAGTTGATTCACGGAAGTGACTTCATTCATCATTGCAAATCAATGGAAATTTAAAAAATTAAATTGATAATAGAGGAAATGTTATCTTTTCTTATTTTAATGAAAAATCTTATATTAAAATCTAAATAATATTTACTTATTTATTTGTAACAGCGGGAGATTGAGTCAATTTTAATATTTGTTGTCCTCATATTTATTTTTCAAATTTGACATATTTTGACAAATACTTGAAAGCAATAAATTTATTTTTTTTTTTTATTGCTACCAACCTCCGGTTTTTATAGTTCCAGAATGAAACAAAGATTGGAATTTAAATCAATCTAATAACAATAAGACAGCATTAAGTGGTATTTAAATTTTTTTAAGTTCGAATTGAATATTGAATATATACAATATATATTTTGCTATATGCCACTGCTATACACTGCATACAACTGTAAAGGCAGAGGTGCTTTATTCTTTTAAGTGAAGTTCAAAGTATCACATTAAGATATTTATAAGTACAATATTAAAACCCAGTAATTTTCCAGTTCGAAACGGAACGCTTCATTTTCAAACATGTCTAAAAGACATGAAGACATAACTATAAACCTATCGAACCAAATGTTTGTTGGTCTTCGAGGACACTTTCGAACAAATTAACCAATATTAGCGTAGAGAGTCACTCTTAAAAAAATCCATTTTCTTTATAAAAAACATTTATTGATAGATTCATATTGTTTTATACATTTCTTCTACTTTTATAGGCAATAAATAACATTTGATTTTTATCAACCTGTGGTTTAGTAAGTGAACGCTTAGTCATTAAGCCTTTTCTATATCCGTTTTTAATATATTTATTTAAATAAAGTATTCGAGTTGCTGTAAAGCTAGACTTTCTTTGTATGGTGACAAAGAAGCTTTATTTAAATTTAGAGGGGTTTTGAATAGCAAAGAAAGAAATAAAGGACAAACACAAAAATTTATTTTAATTTTATTGAAGTTTGGCTGACCACACAACGCTGTTTCGAGTATTGCCAAGTACTCTTCATCAGTGGTCTTTGGAATAATCGAATTTTTATTTAATTAGTTTATAGTCCGTATATAATTTGTTTGGACTGCAAGTGCCAGGCTTAGAACTCGTGCCTGTCAAATTAGAAGCGATGTCGTAACCGCTAAATACGAACCTTGTCTTTGACACTGTTTTTAAAACCATGTCTGCGAAGACGAATTTTGCATCTGGCTCATGGATACACTAAACACTTAAATACATAAAATGCATTTAAACAGTACATTAAAATTTCTTTGTTTAACTTTCTCTTTACTATATACATGAAGCAGTTATAAACAGTCAGTAGTTGTTGTTGGTCTTTCGCTTTCTAATACTTTAGTTATATGATTGCTTCTAGTCTGTGCTTGTTATTATATACACAACTATTCTCTATCGCAAATTGAACTAGTGTAGGACCAGTCATTAAAGTACCACGTCCAGTCCAAAACTATACCAATTTCTGGAAAAGTAAGTGGTCTGTGGCAGACCAATTAATACTTTAAATTTCTCATGATTTCCAATTAAAAATAAAAAAATTTAATATATCATAAATGAGTTTATAATTAAAATTCGATATTAACGTCGTAATGCTATTTTAAATTTATTAATTGAATATTTTTTAACCCAACAAAACTTTAAAATGATTAATATTAGGTCATCCAGAGTTTTTATAGGGTATTTCTGTCAAAATTTTCAAAAAAGTTTAAAAATTATATTTGAAAAAAAAAATTTAATCCACATATTGACGATATTCTTCACCACTTGCTATTTTTTACTTACAACTATTATTCTAGATCCAAAACCATTATTGTAGAATTCAGGGATTTATGTTTGAAAAACTTTCGTAATTACTTTTAATTGCTCATTTTCGAGATTAAATTTCAGATTATGTTAATGTTGCAAAGATTTGAAAAAATTATAATCTTAGAACTAGCTGCTATGAAGTTAGATATAGAGCACTTCGACTGTCGTAAGTGTTGTAACATAAAAAGTATAAAGATAGTACAAAAAGTTCTTGTTACTTTTTGAAAAAATTGTTTATGTTTTATATAACATTATAGCAATGCAGAACTGGATGGTTGCAGTGGCACGCCATCACTGCATGTACCTCAATAACTTTCCATGTACCTCAATATTGTACCCCGATTTACCGCCGTTTAGCTACCACATTCCTCGCAAGAACTTCTAAGAAAAATATAAATTGAATACATCCCACTGAATTTAGATAATTTAGTAAGTCTTTCGTCTTTACCGATGAACAATTTCTTTTTTCTGCAGGTGTCTATAGCTTCTGCAGTGAGAATTATGAGGAATACACAGTTTCTATGCAGTAAGGAGCAAAAAGAACTGCAGTAAGCCTTACAGTGTTTACACGATCTCTTTTGATGAGTTCCCAAGATCTAGTTTTATTATAGGTGGGTCATGTTAACCGGGAAGTTGTACATGCCACATTGCTGACATGAAGTTGCAATTTAATACTACTTAAAAGCTTTATTTACACTCTGTTCATATGTATTTTATTCAAAGTCTTAAAAATATATAATTTTTAAAAGATTCAATCATCATATTAAAATTTTTAGAAATAAGTAGAATTTGGAACAATGCGACTCTATGAATATATTGAAGGATGTCGAAGTAACAAACAGTGTGTACGTTATTGTCTTTTGGTTAATAATATTATGTGTTGTTTTTGTAAATTATATATACGCTTTTACGTTTTTACTTAGGTATTATTTTACTTTTCTTTCAGAAGTTTATAAATATTTATTAATAACTAATGTTTATGGTGTAGAGTAAAAAATAAACAAATGTTTAATGCAGTGTACATTATGAGACCACTATCCCGACAGTTTGTC